TTATGTTATAATTAATAATACAATATAATTTGGTTTTCTATTCTACATGTACAGAAGCGCTAAATGGCATTTGGCTACATTTGCTGTAGTAGATTATGATATAATGTATTTTATAGATCACGACAAAATATTAAAAAAATAAAGTTCAATGCCACCGACTCGCCCGGAGAGTCCATGTAAATTTTATCCCAGCGCCATAGACTCGCCCGGCGAGTACAACGTAAAATGTAGGCGGCATCCGAGAAGTCATCGTGAAAATCGTGGTGGTAATGAAAGATAATAGTAAAAAACAAACGACACAAGGTGGAACAGATCGAGGGCCGATTTTTACTAGTTTCCTTAAAGTATAAATAATACACTACAAAGAATAGTCTACCATTTCCAATGGAACAAAAACAGGAATCATCATTAGGAATTTTAAAAACTATAGTCCAAACTAGGCCTGAAACTTTTTTTTTTGAGGGCGAAAATAATCCTGTGACTTCTCCCGCCAGACATCCCGCCGAGATGAGAGGGAGTGTCAGACTCTTACTGACTAAAAACCACGCCGTTCCTACTCGCACTTCGAGCCGGAGCCCCGGTAACTCGTTAAGTCTTCAGCTGATCCGTAGCAGCATTAGCCCTTCTAGATCTATTCGAATACATATACACTATAAGAGCCCAAGTTAGTAACAGAAGCTAGTAAAGACATCCTCGGCAGCCTCACTAAGAACGACTCAACACACAAAGGAATCAATAAAAAAACATATTTTCAAAAAGTTACGATACAAAACGTTTGTCAATGTCACGGTAATTTGTTTACAAGAGTGCAGGTTTGATGGCCGGCTGAGTCAAAGTGTTATGTCATCGAAGCCAAGAGGTGGGTGACCTTCGTTCACGAATGACATGCATAATATTTTTATTGGAACTAGTTTTTAGAAGTTATTGTGAGATAATTCACAATTAAAATTATTTGTCATCGTTGACCTTGAGGCTGTGGAACAAAGTAAGGATTCGATTTTCTTGTTTAAAAAAAATAATTTAAAAAATCATGTTTCGCCACTTATCAGAAAGCTTACATAAAACTGAACTCTTGCATTGTGTTTTGTCGTGTGAGTGAGGTTACCGGAACGGAGGCCCAATCCCTGAATCTCCAACAATCCTCAAATTCCTAATCCCCAAAAAGCCGGTAACGCACTTGTAACGCCTCTGGTGTTTCAGGTGTCCAATTGACGCTGATTGCTTACCGTGATCCTACTGCTCGTTTACTAGCTTATTCTATAAAATACTTTGATATACTATACTTGGTCCAACGTAAATATAAAACGGAAAATACCAACGATTTATACAATTTTTAAGAACAATAAAATCTTCTCTATCGGACGCGAATGTTATTATTATAGTAATTTGTGTATATTTTAACAAGTTTTTTGTTTCATACATTATATAATTCATGTACAATTTATTCAACTTAATGACTTAATAATAACATTATGTATTTTATTTTAAAACTTAATTTTGTTATTTTTATTGAGAATACAATAGGTGGGTTAATTTTTGCCTAAGGGGATTGATTCAGTCGAATAAGGTTATTCAAAATATCTTGAGGTTATATTAATATTTATATTTACATTTCCAAATGCATTCTAGCAGCACAGTGTTGTGATCACAATAAATTAAAGATCATCTAAGCCATGAATGGCTAAAACTTAGTTAATAAAGACATTTTTGACTTTATTGACTAGAATATATGCCTGTTATTAAATAAATACAAAAAAATATATAAAATGTTAATAAAGAAAATGGTTTCAACAGCGTTGTATTTTATTCTACAGAAAGATTGTGCCTTTAAACTACAAAAGCCTTCCACAAACCATTTCTAAGAAGCAGTACCCATCTGTATTACGTAACAAACATTTTGAACAAATATTTAAACACAACTCAAGTTCGTTCTAACCTAAAATACAAACATTGACCTTCTATTCACATTCAAATTTCCCGCCAACAATTTTCTTAAGACCACAAACAAATATCAGCTGTTTTTTTTTTCTATAAACGTCTCGGCAAGGGCCCGACGTCGCGAAGACAGACAGCCAGTTTAATAAGTGCCGCGTTTTTCCAATTTAGTCGACACTGGCTGGAAAAATAAAGAGTCCTCGACTTTCCATATTATTAACTTCTAAGAGGGGGTTAAGCTCCATTCCTTACTACTTGGAAAACGGGAGGCTTCTTTAATACCAACTTTGTGTTTATACAGCGTAGGATGATATTGGAATACTTAGGTCCACAAGTAATTAAGCGATTTTTTTTTATTTTTAGCCATAATTATTTTACCATTCAGTGCTATTTTTTTAAACAATTTTACATTTAAATCTGTAGACTATATGGTGGGTTGCACACCTATTGTTACTTCTAAATCGTCAGTCTTATCTGTTGGTAGAAATAGAATTTCGACTCAATTCGTACGTCGTTGATGTCAAGTATTATACTGTTTGTTGTCCTAACAACAATGTAGAAAAAAACTAAAGATTCTTCTCGTTAAGGTTAGTATGTATATTGACTATCATTTCTTGACCGGGTGAAGGTCATAGAGACTAGAGACCACTTGTCTATGCCAAAATATGGTTGTAAATAAATCAAGTCTTATTACTGAATCGATCATAATATTTTAAACATTGGTCCTATTATTTTTCTAGTTGGTAAGACAGTGATAGATCTGTTATTGATATTTACTTTAATTGTGTTGCCAGTTCCTTATATTTTAAATAGGCATGAATAATCGAGAAAAGAAAAATAGGTATTATTTGTTGAAATAATTGTCCAATTATGAAACGTAATAAGAAAATATAGCAACGATTTTCCAAAGTCTCATGCTTAGGTTAATTTTAGAATTCAGTTTGATATAAAATAGCATACTTTTTTCAAATCTTCTAATAAAAAAAAATATATAATGGCTATTTACAACACCAGTACCTACGAACAGCAGGTCGTTTGAATAACATTTTTAAGTGAATAAATCAGAACATAGATTTTTAATTCTGGCACAGATTTTGTTCGTCCACACGTAGATATGTGTATAAAAATAAATATCTAGAACTGAAATAGGTACATACATATATATAAAAGTTTTTAGCAATTTTTTGCTACACAATACTGAATACTCATATTTTTTCCCATTTTTGACCGCATATTTTTACACTAGATCTAAAATGAAATGTTTATGACTTTTATTTTTTTTTTTTACTAACTAACTTGTGATAAATTAACAACACACAATAACGATGTAAGTCAGTATAACAAAAACCTATTAACTCTGGTTATACGAAGCGTGAAGTTTTTTTACTATTTTCCGGGTTAAAGTGTTCCTTACCATTCACTTCATAATTAACAATAATTTTCTAGCCAAACGGACAAATATACAATAATATATAGACAAAAATACATTTTCATATTTATTTTATACTGTATTTAGTCTTCGTTTTTTCCTCCGATGTTGCAGAGTAAATTCTAGATTTTCCTATTATTAAACAATGAAGAGATAACACAAAAATATTATGAAATTCGATGACGACTCAAGAAACGTTTTGTTCTCGTATATCTAATAAAAAACTGGTTGTATTAACGCATCAATATGACCTTTAGAACTGAACAGAAAAAAAACAACGATTTGTTTATTTTAAAAATAGAATAACGATACTAATGTTCAAACTAGAAAAAATTAAAAATCGAAATGACGAATTTGAAATAATGAAAAGACGAAGACGCGAAAAGAAAATGTTATTATTAGTTATATTACATTGTGAATTACAAATAATTAATATTTCTGTCCACATAATATTTGTTTTCAATGTCACCTGAATAATTTACTAAACAAAAAATATAACAATTCCGAATCAATTTAGATTTTCAATAACAACTGCAATGAGCGCCTTTTGTTCGACTGTGAATAATATTATTTCTAGCTCTACAATAATAATCATAGACAAAAAAATTACAAACCTGTATAGTAAATAAAAATCCTCACACAATCACAGATAAAAAATTAAAATAAAAAAGCACAATCACACGCGACGTGTTCGAAGCGCACGATGTTTCACCCACGGGTTATCGGTCCGCGCCGCTCCACCGACGCGCGTAGACTGCCCGCCCGAACCTTCCACTACCACCTTCACACTCGAAACAATGATTTGTTTATATCATAATTAACAAAAGGTAAGTTTTATTTACAATATTTGAGTTATTGGCGATGTTACATGACAAGGTCAGTCTATAGGGGGCGCTTTAATCGCTTTTTGTAAATTGGTTTACCTACACTTATTTCAATGTCAAGAAGGTTATTTTTGGTGCAGTCGTCAAATTCATAAGCTAGAAACTGCTAGGCTTTGATCTAGATATCAAATCTTAAGCGTGTGTTTGTAAATATAATCTGGCGATTCGTTTTTTGTTTGGTTTCTGCAGTATAGAGTTAATGTTATCAATTGTATGAGTTCTCCATGCTATGTTTAATTTCTCTTATTACAAAGATCGATGTGTATCGAGGACGGTGGGATTTCTTTTTATATTTATGTTGCTTCTCTGGGTGTTTTTAAGTTTTTTGTTGCTACAATTCTGTAGTTTAGTTTGATTAATTTAAGAAGACGGTGATATTCTTTTGTTTTATTTTGAACTAGCTTTTGAGTTTGTTTTCATTTGTTTGTTGAGTAAAAAATAGTGCTTGGAAAACAAGGTTTGTGTTGAAGTAATTAATTGACACTAATAATGACACAAAATAATTAAAGCATATTTTTACCACAATTACAGCATTAGTTTACTGTGCGAACCCGTATAAAAATGCAATATCCAAAAGCTCACAAAATGGCCTTTATCTTCGAATATATTTAGGGGAAGCATATCGGATTTGTGTTTCTCTCCCTTTTCCCTTAAGGGGTTATTTGAGCCCCTAACTCCATTGGGTGCCTCTTGAATCCGTATATGTGTTGATGGAATAGATTGCGAAGGATATTGCAATTTCTTCGACTAATACATCAGAATAATATTAAGAGTGACATTGAGGAGATTATAAACGCCGGTGGCGACATCTGCTCGTGTAGTGTTGTTATGATAGACGTTATTGACAGATTTCTTTGTGAATAAATTTGAATATTTTAATCTGTGTGAATTTTGAATTGTATAGAAAAATAATACAGTATATTTTATGCGTATATATCAGCCATTTGCATGTAGGGACGTTACAATATGATATTTTAGGAAATAAACTATTTTGTTAGTCTCGCCCATGAATAATTAATCTGGCTGAACTTCTGACCTTCTTCGTTTCAGAATCTATTTGGAATCCTAGACTTTATTATATATACTATATCTTAGAATCTTGGACGAAACAATGGGCTATAAATAATTATGATAATAGTCGTCCCATTTGAATATCCTATATAATGTAATTAGGTACTTGTAGTTATTAACTGTAGTTACGGAGAACTTATGAAAAGAAACAGAAACATATTTTTGTGTAACTCCTTACAAAAAACTAAATCAAAGAATTCGTTTAATTAAGAAAATTCCTGCACCTACCAACTTCAAAGTTTGATTCAATTAAAATACCTTTGAGATATTAAAATTTTTAGAAACCCATTTCAAACATTGTGAATTCCTTTCTAGGCAGTCAGTATTACTGTGATTGTAAGAGCTAAATATTAATTGAATTCGATTCTCAGAAATAGGTAAGTGGAACTTTTGGGAAATTAAGGTGAAATACTGTGAAGTAGTGTAAAGTATATATGTCATAACTTGTAATTCCAGAAGGGCCGGCAACGCACCTGTGACTCTGGTGTCCATGGGCGGCGCTGATCGCTTACCATCAGGTGATCTATCTGATCGATTGCCTCTTATTCCATAAAAAGAGGCTAAAGTTAATGTTACATTGAAAACACTTAACCCACCTTTTCACCAGTTATTTTATCTTATGAGTGTAATGTAGGGGTGTGCCTATTGCCTTACACTGGCTATAAATTCCAGACTCTGTGCTGATAATTTTTGAAAAAAGCACTTTTGTACTCTAAACGAAAATTTAATAACGGAGATTTCAGAGCTGCTTGTCGAGCATTGGGATTTCCGAAGTTGTGGCTAACCTGACAGGTGGGCTCCGGTTCTAAGCAGGAGTAACAACAGGGTGGTTTTTAATCAATAAGAGTCTGACACTTCACCCAGTTGTACAGTCTCTTTTTTTGTGCCTTTAGGCCTAATTCACTCTGTCTCCTGCAGTAATTCACCGTGGGAAGTGGAAACTATCGTATTTTTTCTTCTCCTTTTATAATATCTTCTGATTCACTTCGTTGCGGGAAGCAAAACAGTTACTCGTGTCTCAGGGACGCGCCAGACTTCAGTGTTCCGGTGTTTTCATGGTTGTATCGACTGTGGATCCTGGCTTACAGGAGTTGCAGCGGTTTTGGGAGGTTGTGGCAGGCTTTTCCCACAAAAAGGAGTCTGACACTTTATTTCGCTTCACGTAAGGCGTTAGACGTCATTGGGCCACTTGTAGGTAGTTGATGATGATGTGATCATCATCATCATCAACTACCTTGCTCTGCTCATACACTTTTGGTGTGGGAGAGCCATGCTTCGGCACGAATGGGCCGGCTCGACCGGAGTGATACCACGGCCTCACAGAAAACCGACGTGAAGCAACGCTTGCATTGTGTTTCGTCGTGTGAGTGAGGTTACCGGAGGCCCAATTACCTTCCCCTTCCCCAATTTCCCCAATCCCTGAATCCCCAACGATCCTCAAACTCCTAATCCCCAAAAAGCCGGTGACGCACTTGTAACGCCTCTGGTGTTCTAGATGTCCATGGGCGACGCCGATTGCTTACCATCAGGTGATCCGTCTGCTCGTTTACCGGCTTATGGCATAAAAAAAAAAAAAAAAAAAAAACACTGCTCACCAAAGGCTTCTTCTAGCACGGAGAAGGTTTGAGCATTAATCACCACGCTTGCTTGATGCGTGTTGGCGATTCCAAAATTTTAAATTATACGCCCAGGTTTCCTCACAATAACAAACACTTAAGATGGTGGTCATTGGCCAACGTTCAGATACTGATGGCAATAATCTTGGTGTAGCTTACTTCCTATTCTAGAACCAAAATCAGATTCGTTCACTTCCAATAGGTAGAACCAGCCCTTTTATTTAGTCTTATACCTACCACAAGCTCCACCGGCTCTAATTTAATTTACATACATACATAACTTCACGCCTGTCTCCCATGGACCCCCATGGGCAGAGACTAGGGAACGCCAATTACTACGATTCCTACATACCTCTTTCGCTTCAACAACAGTTATCAATCTTTTCATGCATGCTCGTCGGTTAAGGGTACTTTTAATTTGGCCTTCTTTAATATATCGCCAATCTGGTCACTATGTGTCCGTCTAGGGCGCCCTCTTCCGACGGTCCCATTCATATCCGCTCTGAATACTTCTTTCGTTACTCTACTTTCATCCATCCTTTCTACATGTCCAAACCAGCGTAACATTCCCTTTTCAATTCTTGTCACAACATCATCTTTCAATCCACAACTTTCTCTAATAACACTATTTTTCACTCGATCACTCAATTTTAATCCACACATACTTCTCAGGGCTCTCATTTCTACCTACTATTAAAACTATTGAACTAAAATAATAATATTAACTATTCGTCGAACATGTTTCTGGCCTTGAACCCGCTACTGACGGTCGCGAGCCTTATAATTGAGATTGTAACCACAAATTGAATCAGCGCAAATAATCACCTTACGTAATGATGTCTTAGTAAACCAATGGTTGTAAGTGAAGCTGTTGGGTGTGGACACTTAAGTTCGGTTCCTTATTTATATTTTTTTTTGTTTCCATGTAGACAGATAATAATCAACACTTTGTGTGATCCACAAAGTGTTGTTTCGGGTCTGGGTGTCATTGTGTATGTGAACTTGTATGTTTGTAAACGCACCCACGACACAGGAGAAAATTCTAGTGTGGGGCAACGATTTTTAAAAAAAAAAAAAAAAAAAAACACTGCATTGCCAACGTAACGTGCAGAAGAAGGAACTGGGTGGATTTTAGTCAGTAAAAAAAGCACCTTAGAACGAGCAAATAGTTTCACTTTAAAAATTTTATTTTTATGTTCAAAATTGCCTTTCTGGTCTAAAAGAAGTAAATGATTTTGACTTTGACTTTGATTTTGATTTTAAACGTAAACTATTCGATGGTTCGATTCCCAGTAAGTATTTAATGCCTCTATTTCATATTGATATGCTTAGACTTGTTTATAGCAATAATGCTACTATATCTACAATATATCCTACCACCCCACTGATATTATAATTGCGAAATGTTGTATGTTAGTTTGTTAGTTCTTCAAATCAAAACGGCTGAAGGGATCGAAATGAAATTTGGAACAGGGAATAACACAGGCTACTTTTTATACCACAGGAACTCTGGCGAAACGCGATATATACGTGATTTTCTTTCTTTAAGTGATTTTCTTTAAGTGATTTTCTTGACCTATTCTTTCTCTGTTTACGCTTTTAGTTGAAGCAAGCATAATATGATGTCTAAGTAATAGGATCGATAACTAATTTTTGATTTAATGTCCGTCTGGTAGATTATTTAGAAACATTAGATACGTATTTTTTGTTTTCTTACGGAAACGAATGGTTTCGAAGATATATTGATTTGAAATATCACATGACGTCACTTTTAAGTACGATTTATACTCTAAAATGACGTAGCTACCTCCCACTCCTAAACTTTAATTCGTTTTATCTAAGTATTGTTATCTTATACGACAAAATAAAAAATAATACGCGTTCAATATTTTTTCATTACCTAACTGACGGACTAATTAGATTTTTAATTTTCATACCCTGTTATCATCCCTATTGATAGTATAAAATAAATATCAAAGAGAATGTTTTAGATATTCTGTAATCGATATTATATCGATACTTGATATAGAAAACTTAGTTTCTATCTATTGATACGTAGAAATAAGAAAAGTTATATTAGTAGAGATATAATACACCTCTGTTTTCAGCCTAGTTATTTCTGTAGTATGTAAGACTAATTCCGTACAGAGTGTTATAGCTATTGTTCAACTAAATTGTATGCTTTAAACAAAGAC